TTTTGGAGGGAGATATATATATATATATATATATATATATATATATATATATATATATATATATATATATATATATATGGAAAAAATATAGAAAGTGGGTGCTAAAGATCAACAATGCTTCTCACCTTTTCATCATTGTAAGAAAATAGGCTTCTTCTTTTTTTTTTTTTGCTGCTAAAGAACAAACAAACACTTGGCAATAGAAAACATGTATCTTATCTGTGTATATACATACATACATACATACATGTTTGAAAAATCTAACCACAAAACTAATCTGCAACAGCAAGAAGACAATCTAATATCTCATATCTAGGATGGAAAAAGATGAACCGTTTCCCACAAACAACGGGCAAGAACAACTGATCTTCACGAGCCATTGAGGTAGAAACAAAACTATATATAGGCGCTTGAGAAAGTCACTGCGTTTCAAAAGATTCAAGATCCGACAGATTCCATATCATAACACATACCATATAAACTCCCACCCGCTTACCATTGTATCCGCTTGCAACCATATGATATATTGCTCTGTGTGTATGTTCCGTCGCTTGACGTAGAGCCCTTGCAAAGGCCTTAAAGGTCGCCTCCGTCGTGTGGTGAGAATTTTTACCAGTAAGCTGCGGTAACAAACGGTTTAAGAAACTGTAAAAAGAAAAATACTACAAGAAGATTCCATAAGAGTGATAGAATGTTGGGGGAATTCCGTTTTAGTTTATAAAAACGCTTGATTAAGGAAGGAGGATGCAAATCATAACACCACCAACTATATGTGAGGAGGAAAAAGGAGGAAAAAGGAAAAAAATGAAAAGATAATTCAACAAAAAAAAAAGGATAAAGACAGAACAGAAGGTACCCGAATGTCATGAGTTCCAACTCTCTGGGTTGGAATCTCCGAGTTGTAACCGAGATATGGCCGACCAGACATTTACGGAAGGGACGAGACCACTCCGGTTGCATATATGACCGTCTTGTAATTTCGTTAAGAACGTAAGGGCATTTTGGTCACTGCGCAAATGCTCGGGCACATTTACGAATTGGGGATGTGTGTGTATATATATATATGTGTGTATGTACATATTACATAAAACGGCCATATTCAAGTTCCAGAGATTCCGGCGACGGAATTTCACGCAAAAGAGCTCTTTCTCCATATTCACATTTCTTCACCATGAACTCCGGTGGCCTTCTCTCACTTGTATCGCCGGAGAGATTGCACCACCGGCATTAGGACAACAATACACATCTCATCCGTCCACCGGACTACGTATAATCTGATCCAGAAACGCCATTTCCCGGTTCCCGCGAAGCGACTCTTCTCTTCTCGGAGAATCCAATGTTGTTTCATAACCCGAGTCAGTATCCTCGTCTCCTTCACCCGAAGGTTTCACCTCGGTATCTCCTATAACATCTCGGGAAGCTGAGTTTGGATCCCCGTAGGTTCGGCGTTTCGCTCCGGAATCCGAAGGCGATGAGCTTCGGCTCGATTCAAGGTGATGGGAACTGTGTCCGAAACCATCAGCTTCTCTTGTTGTCTTGATGATGGCAGAATCCATGTCTTCATTGAATTCCTCACAATCTTCTTGACCATCCCCATAGAGCTCCCTTTTGATTCCTGCGTCTTTGGCGAAAAAACGAAATGGGAACAAGAAAGTTGAGAACGAAAATAGGTAACTAAACTAACTAATCACCGGGATAAGAAAAAATGAGCTCGAAGGATCAGAAACCTGTGTCGGGGGCAGAATCTCCGCCGGCATGTCTTTGTCCTAACAGATCCTTCTGTAACATATCCATGTCGGGAAACACTAAAAGATTCATAGAACGGATTTCTTTCTTCAGCAAATCATCATCCACAGGACGAAACCCGAATTTATCTATCCAAGCACGGCTAAAGTCGGGGGTTGCGGGAATAACCAGCGTCTCAATCTCGAGATGTTGAAGAGTCTTCAAATAAAAGACAAGGAAAACCCGAACGCGAGTCAGTAAAAATCTAACCACGATGCGGAAAAAACTGTGAAAAAAACAGAAGAAAAAATTCACATTTCATGGGATTGGCTATGAAATTATAGCTATGAATACAAAGTTAACATTTCATTTAAAAAAACTAGGAGAAAAAACCGAGCTCGAATCCTCGGCTTTCTTGTCTATACACTTAAGATAAGACGTGAGACGAAACACAAACACGAACTTACTGATTTTATGGCTTCGAAAAGTCGGCGGCACATCCCTTGACGCCTGTAGATATGGCGAGTTCCAATAAAGGGCATCTCTGCTAGCCGATCTCCGCGAAATCTAAAAGAAGACAGGAAAAATATCGTCAATATCATGCATCGAAGCCAGTAAAAGTTTCCGGGTACGAAAACACACACATGAGCAATGAACACAAAAACCTGATAGATGCCGAAGCAATTATTTCGTCGTCCCTCTCGAGAATAGCGGTATAGAAGCCACCGAAATTCAGCCAGTTGAAATTTGACCTAAGAAAAAAGCTAGGTATAAGCAAAAAAGTGCCAACCTGAGATGAAAACAAATTTAATTTACATCTCAAACAAGCTTACCCGCAATTGTAAAGGACATTATGCATTATATTCACCCCGCTCCTCCTGTCAATAATGGGCAAAAAGCATTCATCCATGACTGTCAGAGCTACCGAAAGCTTGGAATGACTTTCAACAGTCTGAGGCGGCTCAGGTACCGATGAATCTGAATCTGTATCTGCCCTATGAACTAGAGACCATGAAAACCCGTTGTCTAATTCATGTTTGATGCCAACATACTTTTGTAAACCTTCACAGAGCTGTCAAATCGAGAAATAAATTAACTTTAAACAGAAATGCTTCAAATATAGCATAGAATATGACTGAAATTTATAATCAACAGCAGCATACAAGGGGCGATAAATCTTGAATTAAAAGTACAGAAATGATTTTCAGTTTTTAACACGGTTGACGTATTAGCCGTCTAATAACGACAGAAAGGAAAATACCTCTTTGCACTCCACCCCACAAAATGCAATGCCTAATTCAGCGCAGGCAGTAGGAGTAGCAATCATCTCATCACGCATGCATGGTTTGTGATCTAGAAAAGAGAAATCCTAATTTCAATCAGAAACGATCAGCAATAATGAGCGAAAACAAAAGCGAAATATTTCAACCATTGTAAGGAAGAGATGAAAAATACATTTTTTCTCACACATCTTGCAGGTAAGTAATTTCCATAAAGTTGCATCCACAGTTTGTGTATGGTCTCCCACAACTGTCCTACAGAATTTGCATGTACAATTTGGGCAATGCCAATCACCAAGAGGAAGCATCTGTAATTGAATGAACCTCAAAATGATTCAATAAGGCATCAGATGGTCTTAAACCAACTCCAAAATATATTCTCTATTCTCAACCCAACAAAATATGTTGTTTGAAACATTTTTTTCACCAAACAAGACTTAAGTCGTTGCTTAATATTGTAATGACTGGTAAAAAATATTTCAAAAAGGAAAAAAAAAGAAGAATATGAACTTGAAAGCAATCAGCAGCATACCTTAATGTCTAGGCATCTCTGGTGGAATGTCGAGGGACAACCATCACAACAGATTAAATCACCTCCATCCCCGCAAATACCACATGCATCATCATTTGGGTCATCTTCATTTATATCTACATTGCAGAAACCAACGTGCTTATCACCCTTTTGTCGGGCCCATGCATCTATTTGGCATTGAAGAAGAGAAACCCCAGAATCCAAATACATGTTCTGAAATGGCTGCTGCAATTTGCTTCCAGCATGGATCTCAAACTTCGAAACTGAAATGATTTTACTACAGCAACCACAGTGAATCCCATCCCTCGTTATCCAGCCCTCAAGCATTGCTCGTGAATCTCGGGGGTTCATGTACATAACCTTTTCGTCCAACTGAACAATTCCATTATCAATCAGCCATGCCAGCACTGTCCGTTTTCCAGAGAAGTGTACAAAGCCATCGGATTCTGAATTGTTTCCCTTAGTTGAACGTCGTACCAGCAATGTATTCCTACCAGTTTTCACACTTTTGCCACCGTCTCTATGGTGAGAGGAGGAACCAGCAGATTTTTCACATTTGTGCTTCATACCTGGTAAACCAGCTTCATGATTGACCTCATTTCCCATAGACATAGAACCCTGCCCTAGGGAGGAGCTTAGTTTTTCTTTATGGACATATCGGTCTTCAGTCACTGGTTCATTTTTAATAGTTGGGAACTTTCTCGCAAAAATGTTTTTTTCATCACTATCACTGCCACCTTGTTGCTGTCTTTTCAAATCTCTTTCAACCTTCCTTTTCGTTTTCCGTGTTAATTGACTGAGCGTCTCATCTGAGATCAGAGTAAATGAAGAAAAGTCCCGGCTAGGCTTGACCACAGTTTCCTCATTATTGAATTGCTTCAGAAGCGCTTCATAGGCCTTGATAATAGACCAATATGCTGTTCCTGTTGGACTTATATAAACTGCATCTAGGTAGTCTCTATTCTTTCTAGGTCTATAGTCAATCATCCACCCTGCTTCCAGCAACATTCCCCTAATTCGCTCACGTAATCGTTGTTTTTCAGTGCCAGAGCCACGCCTAACTTTTCCGTCTTTGATTTTTGGAGGAGCTGGCTCATCAGGTAGAGTCTTTTCACCTCCAGCAATTGACATCTGGCCAGATGTATGACCTCTAATATTCTTCTTCTGCACCCTTGCTGACATATCACTATCTTCTGAATCTTGGTCCAGGCCTTTATTTTTCATGGCTAAGGCCATATGCATTTTTGACCGTATTGCAAGATTTTCACCTTTCAAAGTGGTTGGCGACTGGATGGCAACACGTATTTTACCAGTATCTTGAATTTTTGAACCAGTTTGAGTTTGTTTAGCTTCCACGTTAGTGAAGTTTCTGAGTAACCCGCTCATCTTATTCTTCTTGTTTATCATAACCTTCAAGACACCGTTTTTCCCCTGAACTCTAATAGGTTCATCAAAGCCTGCATCACCCATGTACTTCTTCCGCAACAATGATTCATGAATTTCGGTTTCATCTGCAGTAACTTTAAACCTGTTTCTACAACCCTGATTTGCAAAACTTGCGGCCCCTGACCCATCAAAATATGATTTTCTTCTTTTCTCAAGAACTAAATCTCTACTTGAACCAGTTTCGCCTTTCTTGTCAATGCCAAATTGAGCAGATCTGAAATATGATTTCCTACCGATATCAACTCCACCGCCGTCAAAAGACCTCCTCATCCTCATAGTCATTAGTTCGTCTTCACTCTCCTCATCGTCATTGTACCCCACTTCATCTAATCTATTCCTCTTCCATTCTTCGCTGCTCTTTCCCACAAAAGAATCCCCTTGCCAATCCCGTCTCCGGCCAGAATCCCTTTCTTCTGCATTTACCCCATCAAAACCAGACAAGCCATTACAATGGTGGTGCATAGTTTGGTGAACAGTTTTCCAACCAGGTATCATAATTTCAGCGCTAGACCCAGAACCAGAATCACTCATAACCGTCCTGGACCTCTTGTTTTCCAACCATGAATCATAAACCGGGCGATTCCCTGAAGACGAACAAATCCCACCGACCACATCGCCCTTCTTCTTCACAATCAAACAACCCGAAGAACTTCTCTTCTTCATCACTACCCCTAAAGGTTCACGAGATCTCCTGCCCCCTCCTTCCATGTTCTACACCAAACTATGCCACCAAATCCGATTTAAACCCTAAATTCCCCCCGATTCCATCCCGGATTCCAAGATACAATCGGTTAAAAACGCAAAGCATCATCATATAAGAATCTTAAGAACCCTAGGAATACGAGATCTGGACCAAAGCCAAATCGATTCCCGAATTATCCTTCAACAAGAACCGTACGCTGCCATTGGTCGAATAATCGGCGATCGGAAACAGGGACAATACCTCACTCCGCCGTTCAAACTGCAAAATCCTCCGTCGGCGGGCGCTGACGCAAGTTTCCGGCCACCAACAAGAGAATTCAAGAGAGAGGAAGAATTGCCATGCCCTTTTTTTTTAATTCAACGTCTCTCGCTTTTACGCTTTAATTTCACCACTTTATTTTTCTTTTTCACACCAATTCTCGTTGGTCGATTTCAAAAAAAAAAAAAAAAAAACAAACAAATGGTCTAATTCATGCGACTCATGTCTGCCATGTCCCCAGTTGTCGTATGGGTCATCTTTCATAGCCTAATAGTAATACAGCCCAACCTCTTACACCCAAGCCTCTTAAATTTATCATTTTTTTAAAAAAAAATACGGCATTTATGCATTTATATGATGATGACTTATAGTTCATGCTTTTAGACTATTTTTATATGCATTGTTGAGGCCTATATATAATGTTCGAAGGCTTATTTTAGAACACTATATGCATTGTCATGGACCTTTTGACGCTTTAGCAGATAAAACGAAAAATGGATTATTATCATTAAGAATGTTATTATTATTATAAGTTCACAAAATTGGGGTCTTCGAGCAAAAAGATCCCAATTCTGTTTACAAAGTCCTCAATTTATATATTTAATTATCATTATCACATGTATAATCTCTAAACCGAAATACTATTCGGTATTCCCTTTTCGATCATACCACCTTCTCTTGAGTAATTTGAAGTGTTTGGGTATAGCAAAGTGTACGACATTTTAACTGGACCAAACCGATTCTTCAAACTCTTATCGTTGTTCCTCTTCAAGATATTGGTCTCGACCTGCTCAAGCCTATCAGTGAACCTTTTAGACATAACCAAAATCTCATCATCAGCCGTCCAATTTGGAGATTCTCTCTGTCCCAAATAAAGCTCGTCCGTTGAATGCATAGACAAAACCTCAATGATAGAGATTCCAAGTAATGTCTGTAGTTGCGGAGTGATCGTCTTCAAGTATGCAACATCAGGATCTTTCTTCAATACTCTTCTGTACCCGATTCAGGCATGAACCGACGACTAATTGTCGGTCGATTTGGGAGAAAACCGGTATACGAATACTGACCAAAGTTAACAGCAGCATGAAGAGCAGATGCAATCCAGATAATGATCGAACATGTTTGGATGAGTTCAGACCGAGAGTGCATTTTAGGCCACCAGGGCTCGTTTTTTTTGTCACCATGGCCTACGTTTCGAAGTTCAGACTAGGGCTGGGCACGGGTCGGGTACCCGCGATTTTGGAGATATTCGTCTTCGTTTTCATCTTCGCGGGTTTCATGAAAACAATGTCTCATTTTCTATCTCATTCACACTGGGTACCCGTCGACCGGGTACCCGTGATTAAGAGACGGGTACCCATGAGTACCCGTACCCGTAAAATATATATTTTTAAAATAAATATAAACTAAATATTTAGTAAAATTATATTATTTAATTCAAATATATATTTAAAATATAAAATATATATATATATTTGAATATATATAGATTTTTAAAAGTTTTTAAAATATATATGTTAATTTTTAAAAGTTAAAACCTAATATTTAAATAAATAATTAAAAAAATATAGGAATATTTGATATTTTTATATATTTACGGGTACTCACGGATACCCGTCTTCGTAAAAATGAAACCCGTACCCGTTTTCGTTGTCGTTTTTATGTACCCGTCTTCGTCTTCATTCAGAGGCGAATACCCGTTTTTCGGGTACCCACAAGACCGGGTACCCGCAAACCCGCGGATAACGGGTATAAATGTCCAGCCCTAGTTCAGACCACCATGACTGAAGCTCTATGTCAATTTGGATGGTTTTGTAATAGTACGAGCAATACTCTGTCACCCATGTCTCAATGGCTGACCAGATCTCTAGTCCATCAACAGCATACGGATAATCTTTGATCAAAAGATGAACACTACCATCGCAACTTGAATCAGGAACAGCCACTCCTCTATACACAGTTTTGAGAAAACGAACGTTAGATTTTTCACTATCTAAGTACATGAAAGTATATGCGTAGGCTTTTCACTATCTAAGTAAATGAAAAGTGTGTACCTCTTGAGAAGATCAGCAGGCAGAGCTTGGTCAGTGAAAACTCAGTTTCGGTAAAGCGAAGAAGACAATTCCATAGAGTATTTTCCCGGGAACACAGTTCTTTCGAGCACACCATCTGCGTTAATGAGGATATGACGAGCCAATGCATTTATTTGCATTGTGTCACGAAAATGTGGATGCAGAAGCTTATAGATCGGATGAACCACACTCAGTTGTCTTTTTGCTGAGATAATGAACGGTTCCATAGTAGCATGGGTGTGTAGCCTACAAAAAAGCGATCATTGTAAATAACCAGACAATTTATTGTCGAGGGATACATTCTCGTTTTGAATACAATTTGATTGTACTTATACCAATGGCTAATAAGCTGATGATAACCAGAATCATTGATCGCAACATAAGCCTTCGCGAGTTGCCAGATCGAGCCCTCAACACCTTTCTCAGCCGGTGTGAAGATTTTGTTGACAACTCCATATTTTTCACCTTGTGGGTGAGGCAGACTCAACTCAATGGCTAAAGGCATCAGAATTCCATCATCTTTGAGGAGCAGAACAGTTCGGGTAGCATATAGTTTTGCACCAGTTGAGTTAATCCTTCTCAAATAAGGCATCAACGAGTCATGATAATCCAAAACATACAGTTTGTTTTGCTTCAAAGCCTGTAAGAACAACAAAAAACAAAAACGACGACAATATAATGACAAAGACAATGATAAGATGATGATTAGGATGGTTTCAAATACCTCTTCGATGGTAAGACCATCCATGTTAGGCTCAACATCTTCTTCGCGGATAGAACTATGTTGATTTCCATATACATCCGGATCCATCTTGCTCAGTGGAGGAAATTCCTACATTTTTCACGAAATCTCAGCAAAAATAGCATATTTTAAAAGAAGAGGGAACAAATGATAAGACCTGGAGACGTCTAATGACAAGTGGATTGAGACCGGCAATCATTTCCCGACCAAACTCTTCGTCGGATCTCCAAGCTGATCTACTCTCTGTAAGAATATAGAAACCTTCACAAGGGAAACCAAAAAACCACCTCGTTACAAATCACCTATAAATAACTCCTACCTTTGATGATAGTGGGCATTGGATACTTCAAAAATCGATCACCATCATTGCGAACGAGTTCTCTAAACATCTCCCATGGAAGAACGTCACGGATCTTAGAGATGATGTGAGTATTAGGGTGTTTGATACCACCTTCATAGAGACTGAAAATGTCGTCGAAACTGTCAAACTCGTTGAAATTCTTGTCACAGAGAGAACCGATTTCGGGGACAATAACTTACGCCACAGACTTAAGAGCATAAGCGATGAAGTCATGTTGAACCTCTCGTCTCGAGGGACATATATGTCCAGGCTCAAGAGCGGCAATCTACTCTCTGTTTTTGAATCTGTTCGTGATGAAAAACTGTGATGAGAAATTTAAATGACCTTGATATTATATAGGAGCTAACCTACATTTTCTATGTGGCAATCTATAAAACATGATTTATTTTGTAAGAACAACTACTATATATTGAGAAACTGACCGATAATGATAATGGTAACTTTTCATTTATCGCAATTTAAATCTTATACTGTTTTTAGATTTTTAAAAAAATTACAATTACATTAATTTAAAATATTCCTTTACATGTACAAATACAGATACTCACCCATTTTCCCGAATATATCAACCCACCATAATTTACCATAATGACGCAGCAACCAACCCAAATACGCATATGTTTGGGCCGGAAGATTGGACATCAGAATAAAAGCCCATTGGGCCTACGATATGTCATATTACGATATTATAGTCCATTGAAACCCACAATACATATTTATTTATAAAATTGGATATATTTTTAAAAATTCCATAAAACAATTGAGAAAATATAAATATAAAATATTAATTTGAAGTTGCAAAAAAAAGAGAATCTTTTGATTTCTGATCATTCAATATAAACTATTACAGTATTTATATAAACCATTACAGTATTTATCGGTAGAAAATAGAATTATATAATATTTTAGTTAATCAATATAAATACATAAATATAGAAATAAGCTCAAATCTAAATATTGAATATTTTCAAATCTTTTCCATATCTTTCGGTATAATTCTAGTTTTGTTTGAACAAAAATGGTTGGATTTAATGGTCTGGGATCGATTTTTTTTTTCCCGGATAGGATCAATACTACTTTTAAAGTTGTCCATTGCAAAGGGACTATTTTTATATATGCATCTTATATACAATGTTCTAAGAATTATTTTATATTTTACAACTGATCTATGTATAAGACCTCAGAATTGTTTGGACCTTTTTATGCTTTAATAGATTGATAGAAAACGCAAAAAGAAAATCCCAACAAATAATACCAAATGAAACTATTTAATATCATCAATCTAAAATATTGAATGAAACAAACAATAACATTATAAGATAATGAAACACGCAATAACATGATATGACATCACTTAAAATGATAATAGAATAAACAATATTGTTTAGTATAATATTTAGGATAAACCCCACGAAAAATCCTAGATCTGCAACATCTTATAAAAACAATAAGTTAATCATTTTATTTCAAACATATTTGGAAATTAAGGCGATGTTGTTGTTGATGTTTAATCGTTGACCATGTCAACCAATTTTTATGTCAGAAAATGATGATGTGATATATCGGAATGACAACTGTACTGACACATCATCGACATGTATTAGTCACGTCATCATATATTAATATGGACGTGTTTATGTCCAAGTTCGGAGTTTTTGTAATAATTTTTTTTTCACGTTCGTGTATAACGGCACAAAATTAACAACAATATTCAACACTGTCTTTGTTTGCAAAATAGGATCAAACACACAATAAACCATGTTCCGACTCAATCAAAAAATGTCCAAAAAAAATAAAAATGTTTCCATTACAACCAAAAGATATCCAAATACAAACAAAAGACGTTCCACGAACAAAAATGTGTTCAAACATCTTGAACTATTTTTATCGAGTTGCTTTCCTTCGATTTTGATCTTGGAATATGAAATTGCCTATGTATCGAGTTAGAAGTGAAAACAACGTTCAAGGCTGAGAATTGGCTATTCCTTATAAATTCAAAACCTTAAAAAAAAAAATGAATGAAATTTTAATTAGGTCATAATCATGGTACTCTTTCTACACTTGGTCCTGTCAGAAATATAAACACTAATTGTACACCGAGACCGCAAATGTCTTTTTCCTGTGGGTGTTCTTCTCCGCATCTCTAGGGGAAGATGACGCCTGTTTTTCCTGTTCTCAGCTTTCTTCCGACCAACTCTTCTGTGTTGTGTCCAAGGAATCATCCAAAGACTTTGTGTGAGTTTCCACGTCTTTTGTCTCGTCTCCTCTTCAGCCTGTTCCTCAGGCTTTGGAAGTCTCTGAACTAACTTCCCAACAAACGGGTTTTTTACTTTAGGGTTTTGGTCTTCACTTTCACTCACCTGCTGGTTGCTTCTGATCTGCAGCGGGAACATAAGGGAACCCTGGAGGAACAACCTGATTCTGCGTCTTACCGGGTGGCCCAGAAGCGTTGGAAACTCCCTGAATTTGCTTCAAGTTTCCGCCTTTAACGGCTTTCCCTGGGTCGGGAGGGGCAGTGGTTGTGCTGCTTGAAAGGTTGACCGGAGGGCACGGCGAATGAGATGTCGCAGCAGGAGATGAGCCTTGTGGTTGCTGATGTCTCTGGAGGTAATATCCGTTCTGCTGTGGCATATAAGGGCTGGAGAAGAAAAGCTGGGCTTGCTTGGGTGGCTGTTGGGACTTGGACATGGCATCCGAGGTATGAGTAACATGAGGGTTACCGAGAATTGGAACTGATGCTGTTGGGGAGATGTTCTTAGATGGCTGAGATGATGTCAGCATGGAGGATACTTGTCCAGATTTGTTAGCTGTCGAGGCCGAGGTAGCAGTCCTCAGGCTTCCACTTCCACCAGCATTTTTGGACACGGAAGAAGTAGAGGGTGGACCAAAGGGCATAGATTTAGTGTTTGCTGCAAATGAAATCTGCACTTGCTGTGGCCGACCCTGCTGTTTCGGCTGGACATTTTTATGGGATGATGCAGTAGATGATGATAGTATGGAAGGAGACTGAACCTGAGCTGTTGTCGTTCTGCAGGAATTGCTTTTCCACTGAGGAGACTGAACTGGGCTACCATTAGACTGGACAATATTTTGAGGAAACCCGGAATTAGCATTAGGAAATTTACCTCCGCTGATACTGTGATCTGGGTAAACACTACCATTACTTGTTACCGGACCTTTACTTCTAGCTGCAGTAACTGCTGCTGCAGCAGCATCTGCATTCTGTTGCTGCTTCTGGAGATGAATGGCGAGCTGCTGGTGAGAGGCTTGAGCAGAACTTGAAGTCCGAGGTTGGGGAGCAGAGCTAAGGTTGAGTAACCGTGCAGAGCTATCAGTGAATCCATTGCCCGTTGCTCCAGGAACAGATGTGTCGGTCAAATTAGTCGGTGCTTCTCCTGCTGTTCCTGTCTTTCGTTCCTCCAAGGCCTTAGCAGCGGCATTAGGGCCAGATTTTCCATCCTCCGGAGCATTGTAGTTCATCTTCTGTTTAGCAGCAGCAGCTGCTGCTGCTGCTGCCATCATCTGGTGATAACCTTGCCTTGCAGCCTCTGGAATGCTATGGAATATAGCATGATTCTGAGGAATAAAGGGCATGTTAAAGCTGGGAGCACTAGTCCCATTAAATGTTGCGAACGTCATCGCATAAGCCTGAGACTGGAGGGATTCCACACCAGCCTTTGATCCCTGCTGTTTCGGTTTCTTTTCACCGTGATTGCCACAAGAACCAGCCATTGCACCATCCGAGGCTGCTGAATTCATCGAACCCAAGTTCGTTGGTTGCATAGGCATAGCAAAGTTCTGGCCATATGCAACATTGGAACGAGATGCCCGGCTATCAGCAGTTGACGGGCTTTCTTCTCCAACAGTTTCACTCTGCTGAGGTGTGTTTTCTCTTGGCTGCTGCCTTGGCTGAAAGCTCAAAGGCTGACACTGAACCTTTGGCATTGGAAACCCTTGGGGATTCTGCACATGTTTTTGTGCAGCAGAGGACCCAGTGGAAACACTTGTATTCTGATTGCTTGGAGCTTGGCCTTGATGTCCCTGCCCAGATTGTTGCTGTGGTTGAAGATGCGGAGGGTGGATCATTTGAGAGGAATAGAATGAACCGTTAAAGAATGGTATCGGCTGCCCATGGCTTCCTCTGTAAGCAGGCGGTGCACCAACGTGGGCCGGTACTGGAAACGGGTAACCATTGTTCTGCAAGATAGCCAGGTACTGAGTTTCATTGCTCGCCATGTTCGGGTAGCTGAAGCTCATAGTTGTGGTGCCGGCTGGAGAAGCTGATGCAGAACCATTCATGGAGGCAGAAGAAGCAGCAGCGCCAGAAGCTGTATTGCCACTCATAGGCGGTCTAACCGACACAGAGGCCATTGCAGCAGCTGCATATGGTTGCTGGCCTAATGGCAAGATAAATCCCGGACCATGCTACAATGAAACCCCGAAAGACCAATCAAGTTGGTGGAGTCCAAGGAACAGAAAACTTGGTATGAGAAAAAAAACACGGGAGGAAAGATGGAAACTTTACCAAGATGTTATTAGGAGCTCCAGGAGGTAAAGGTTGCTGCAGCAATAATGGCTTCCTTTGGTTTGTGTCCGAGCTATTAGAAGTAGTAGATTGAGAACTCTTATCGGGTACCGAGTTGGAAGGCATGAGACTGAGATTGCATGCCTTAGCACTGTACATAGGGGCCGAGCCTGCCGCCGCCGCTGCTGCTGCTGGCCAAAAAGGATTCATTTTCGTGAACTGATGATGATAATGAATGTTCCGAGCTATATAACAATGAGTTGCACATCTCTTTGGTCTTGGTTGATTAAAAACCAATTGTGGAGGCTGCAAAAACATAACAAATGAAACTACAGTTAGGAGATAAGGACAGGTAGAGAACTCAACAGGGCCAAGTACAGGGAAGAGGAATCATAAATTGGTAATTACCTGCATGGTTGAAGATGGTAAAGCGCTGGTATCCACGGGTACAACTCCCTGTGTAGGTGCCATGTATCTGTACATATCCGGAGTTTTTTTTTTAACTTCAAGACTCAAATGGAAAAAAAGCAAAAAACAGCTCGAAATATTACTAGTTTACGGCTAAATACAATTACCCAAGCAAGCATACCCCATTGTAGGAAGACCACCAGGCCAGCCAGGCATTGGCGTATGCAGAGCCAAATGGCTCGTTTGAGCTGCAAAATTGAAGACAGACATGATCCAATTTAAATAAAGTGTGGGGACTACCTACCACGAAAAAACCCACCAAGAAAAAAAAACAAAACAGCTCAAAAGAAAGTGTCTTTTTGTTTTGTTTTGTACAGAAGATCATAAAGGTGAAAACTTTACCAGATTTTTCCAGTGTCTGTTGCTGAGTCTGCTTCTGGGTATAGTGGTTTAGCTTGTTCTGGTCCGATTTCTCAAGATCAAGCTTGAGTTCTGTGATGTTCCTCTCTGTCTTGTCGGATTCAGATTCCATGGCAGTTCTGGGTTTCTTCTCCTCCGGCTCCTGGATCGAACCTTCCTCGCATCCCAATTTCTCAGCCTTGCAGTCATTTTCAATCTGTCGAGGCTTTGCATCCTGTTATCATATACCACAAAAAAGAAAGATAAAAATAGAAAGAGAGAAACAAAACACAATCATCAATGGATTACCACAATACCAAACAAAAGAGGAAGTAGGGTCCACACTCACCGTTTCCACATCCGCGGCTTTAGGTTTAGCCTCTGCTGCCACAAGATCCATCTCTCCATCTGTCTCCGGTGACGATCTCGCCGGCGGACGCGCCTGAATATATGCAAAGAAAGAATCAGAAAATCATCGGCAAGAATTTAAAAAAAAAATCAGAAAATTATCGGCGAGAATTTAAAAAAAAAAATCCATTTTTTTTTTCTGGGCTAAAGGAAAAAATTATTAAAAGAAAGATAAATTGAAAGCCTACCATTAGATCTATCTCGAACTTCTCCTTTTCCGGTGGAAAACTCCTACATGACAGAAACAGGAGAAAATGGCCTCTGAGCACTCAGAATAGGGAGGGAAGAAATCCAAAGAAGAATAGACAGAGAGAAGAATCGAATCTTGTGTCCCTACGCATTAGTTTTAGAGGCTGTGGAGACAAGGCCGTCGCCGTCGGATCTAACCGCAGAAGAATCTTCTATCGTCGTTGATGTAGGTTCCTCTTTGGACAAATTGCTTTCTTTTTTCTCCGATGAATCCAGAGACGGCTTGCTTTCTCGCTCAGCCTTCAATGGAGGAGTCGGCATGTCTGGCGGATTCGTCGAATCGGAAATGTTTTCTCCGGTGGAACCTGAAACTTTCTCTGGATTGATTGGCTGAGCTTCTGCTTTCGAAGGAGCTTCGGCTTCTGCCTTTATGGTAGAGGAAATGGAACACATACGAGATGGTAAAGCAGAATTGCTCTCGTCTTCGTATTTCACGGGTCTCGGCCTCTTCCTCTTAGGGGCTGCAATCAAAGAACATGAAAACATAAATCTAATCAGAAACCCAGAAAACGACGAGAGATTGACAGATCGTTGTTGTTGAAGAGAGCTCGTGATGACTAACCGATGGCCGACACATTAGACAAGCTAGAATTCGTGGCGATGGTGACAGAGGACAGAGGGATAGTGGTATTTGAGTTGGAGACCAGGGAAGATACTCTGGGTTTGACTTCTCCCGTTGATTTGGCACCGAGATTTGCCTCAACGGAATCATTCACTGCGGCTTCCTGCTTCGACGGTCCCAATGGTTGCCTCATCATACCGTACAACACCTCCGCGATCTCGATCTCGATCTCATCCTGCGCTGCCACCGGAGAAGATGACTTGCACGACGACGACTTGGGAGGCAGTGATTTCTGTTTCGGCGCCGAAGGCTTCGACCCAGAAATAGATTTCATTAGTCAAAACGGAGAAGATGAAGGAGATGGAGATGGAGATGAGTGAAATTTGAGACACTGACCATCTTCTTCCGCACCGAAACGCTGGAGGAAGATGGCGACGGAGGAGCAGGTGGAGAAGGCGAAGCTAGCATCGGAGCCGGACTGACCCTTGCCGGAGACGTCGAGACGTGGCGGTGGATATGCTCACCAGCTGAGAAAATGCCACCGGCAGTGGCACTCAATGCCCACGACTCATGCGATCTCTTTGTAGATGCTGAAATCGAAGACACCCAAAAGAAAATTCAACAAAAATTTTAAAAAAAAGATTGGTTTGAGAAGAATATGCTGATATTGAAAATCTTCCACCTCTCTACCTGACCGGGCTTTTCTCGGGACCGATACACCGATCATCTCGTCGGCGGCCTTCCAGAATGATACGAGAGGAGATGCTGTCGCAGCCGCCGGAAAAGGAGACGATCTGAAAACTTTTGCCGGAGGAAAACTTTTGCTGTTGTAGAGATTACCGCTACTGCTATGGTGATTCGACAACGAAGACGAAAACGAAGCCGTACTGATACGATTCGCCGGTGGAAGCATCTTCATCGAGGACGGTGGTCCTCCACCTCTGCCGCCGTTGTCATATTCCTCGTCATCGTTGACGCTCTCCTCGGAGCTGTCCTCATCGCCGTCGACCATGTTCCCGCGCATCATCATCAACCGATGTTCTCTTCTCCTCTTGCTCCCGCTATTCAACCGATCTCTGTGTCTCTCCCTCTCCCTCTCCCTATCTCTGTCACGGTCTCGATCTCGATCCTCCTTCCCACTCCCTCCCCGATCTCTCAGCCTCGCTGCTTCCGGAAACTCCACCGGGCCATCATCCTCTGCAAAACACAACAAAATCGCCCAAAAATTGTCAACAGAAACATCGAAATCAGACCATTTCCTCTCAGATCTGAAGAAAACATTAACAAAGAGCAAGAATCAATTAACAAACCTAGAGAATCCCTGAAACTTCCGGCTCTATGCCGCCGTCGGGACAAACCATTTCCGGCAGCCGCCATTGATACTCTCCTAGCTTCTCTATTTTTATCCATCTCTCTCCCTCTCTCTCTCCGCTTCTTCTTCCCAAATCGCAATCCCTCTCTCTCCTTGATTCCTAATATCTCCTCTATTTCTGCTCATCATAAAAGCAGTAGGGAAAAATCAACGGCTCATATCTCCTGCCGTAAATCCATTCCGGATTCTCTACCGTTGATTTGAATACATCCAACGGTCTGAATTAGCTAAAAACCAGCGTGGCTCAATCTGCACCCTTCGATTTTCTTCTTTTCGCCCTCTCCCAAAGATATTTTTTTCTTTTTTAGGGAAACGTATTTTTTTATTATAACACATTTACTTTATTATTAATTTTTTTTCATTATATTATTATTGTTAGTTTAAAGGGATGCCACATGTCAGACGTTACATGTAAAGGCTAATAAAGTGTTTAGAATAATAATAATAATAAAACTGAGAAAGAAAACACGATAATAAGGTAGGAAAATCGTGTATACGTGATATGTTATATTACTTCTAAATAATATATGTGTAATTAAGGAATATAGGTGTAATTAGGGACTAATGCTACTCTAATACAATAACTTTAATTATAAATAAAACCCTTATTTCCTAACTCTAGGTTAGTGAAACGTATTAGTCAATTTATTTTATTTCTAAGATTTAAATTACAAATCATTAGTAATAACCTATTAGTGATATTATAATATTCTTATATTCGTTGCCTTTTTCTAATTTTATTAGTCATTGGCCTTATAACAGATAATTTTATTTGACAAAATATTTAAATCAAATCATTTTTGTAACGTCTTTGTTAATTTAATAAAATATCATTACTTGCTTTTCAATTTACGTTGCTCACTAGATTAAGAGGTGACAGAATGATTTATATCATATGGTTTGATAAAATTTAATTTTTTTGGCTTTATTTTTATGGACCAATAAGAATGTGATCTAAAGAGTTTATAGGGAGAGGCGAACTAATAACATACCTCCAAAGAAATGGAAAGAAATGGGACCCACTTAAATAATTAATGATCAACGGATTAGATCTTACACTGCGCCTATCCTGAAGCCTCATCAGCCGTTGGATTCGTTCTTTCTTTTTCTCGCATCTGACTTGGCGGAAAACGTCATCCCGCAAAGGCTGTCCGAGTTGGCACCCAACTGATTGATCTGGTCCGTTCAATTCAGAAAGATTTTAACGGCTTAGAACGGAAAAAAATGGTGGGCCCATTTACTCGCGTCGCGGTCAAAGGAGTGGGCCCCGCAGTTAGCTGCCTATGTGGAAAGAAACACCATTATCGTGCTAAAAATAATAATTAAAAAAAGATTTTTTTTAATTCATTTATAACCTATTGAAAGGGCACGGCCTCTGCACGCACCAAAAATGGAAAACTGCATCGAACGACGAAAAGATTCTCTGGATTTTTTTTCAAGGGTTATAGTAGAATGATATTGATTTTCTTACCGTGATTGATCGTGAGTAGGTCCCACCATATATTTACATATACTTTTAAATCGTCAGATTCCACGTGGATAACTTTTAAGGTCGACACGTGGAAAATCTTTGTCAAAGCTAACAACACTATCTCTAGATATTAGGAAAAGTTAGTCACACGGCTTGTTCACACGGTCGGGTTTAGAATACACGTGGTTCGTTGTGATTGGTCAGATGTGAATGAAGGTGCGGTGGCCTAATCGGCAGATACGAAGCAAATATTCTTGTGGACCGATCTGCCGCGTCGGATAAGCGGTCCCACCAAATGGATTTTGTTAATTTTCTCTTAAATTGTTTTCCCCACGTAGTAGTAAAAAACCTCATTTTAAACAAAAAAAAAACAAATTTAGGGACAGAAAATAATATTATATTGATTAATTATTAAACGATTATTAGTAATTGGGTTTTGTGACTATAATTATTTTTCTAATATTTCTATAATTTTTTTTGGAGTATCGCCGCTTAACTAAACGATTGAACTATTATAATATTAGAGCTTATTATTAAAAGTGTTGGGGGCAGAGATAATTAGGACGTATTTGCTTCAATTTATATACGACAAGATTACATGGATGCCTTTGGCTTATATATAATAATAATGGAAATAATATAATAAAAAAACTAACAATAGTGGACCAGAAAAGGTGGGATAGCGCGTGTGGGTCATGGATAAATGTTTTTTTCTTTTATTGGAAGGGATTTGACATTTTTAAACAATATTGTTTAACAAAGAAAAGTCAAAATGTCGGAAGTATTTAATTACAATAATATATCTGGGTTTAATTTACCATTACCATTGTGATAATCGAGCTTTCCGGAAGGTCTTTGGTAGCCCTTTGCTTTTCATAGTTTAAAGTATACATAATTTACTCATTCAATACCCAAAAAAGCAAATGAAAAATATATTAAGCAATTAACAACATTTTAAGTACAAATATAATCAGTCAAAATATAATAATTAATCATTAAACGTTATTATTGTAATCGATGTCTCTAACTAATAACATTTTACGCAATTTTATAATGTGTGTTAAATTTATATTGATGAAGTTTAACGTAAGCAGGTTAAGACAATAATAATCCCAAAAAGACAACACAAGTATACCTCTCTGCGTTCCTCTTCGATTGCCAACCAAGGCACAAAGTGCCAATGGGCCCAATTCAAACCCCTCCTACTGATTGGGCTAACAGGCCCATTTCACTGAAAGCCCATAGGCCCATATAACATAACCGTTAAAAGGGACGAAATCAGTGATACCCAATGGGCGCAGGAGCTTCCCTCAGCTCGCGGCCTTGGTAATGTATGTCCTGCAATATCCATCCACAAAAAAAAAACACAAACTTTTTAGCCTTTTTCAATTCCAATGGATCAAATCTGGTTTTGTAGAAGAAGACGAGACTCAGACCGATGCGAAGTGGTTGACGTCACGATGGTGAGCCTCGTCGGCCCTGATGACCAAAACCACGTCCCGGAGAGTGGCATTAGCCGGCAGCCGCCAGTAATCGATGGCGATAGCCGGAGCAGGGACGTTCTCGATGTTGCCCTTGTCGAGTTCCTTGAGGAATTCTGTGTAGGAATGGATTGCTTCTTCCTCAAGGTATCCGACCATACGGTGAGCGAATTTGGGTGAGATCAAGTAGCCGAGGAAGTAGGCGTTGAAGAAGACGCCTTGGACGGTGAAAACCAGGGCTCGCTCGTACCATCTGGGCTTGGCTACTTCCATGAACGTCATTAGATGCATTCTCTCGTTCTCGGCTTCTTCGAGGAGGGCTTTGATCCATCCTCCGCTTTGTTCGAACCGTCGTAGAGATTTGCAGTGCAGAAGCATTCCCCCAACCATTCCGGGCACGGCCGCTACGGTCTCAAGCATCATGGCTCGGCATCCGTACCGTCTCTGTCCGATGAAAATGATGTAATGATTATGAGGGTACTCTAACAAATTGTGAGATCAAGGTTTACAAGAGATTGAAAATCGGCGAGAGAGATATATGTTTGAAGTTGATTTGAAAACCTGGAAGAAGATATCGGTAGGCCATCGGAGAGATTTGACAGTCCAATAAGCAAGTTTGTCCATGAACGTTGCAGGAACATGATGCTTCTTCAGATCAATCGACGTATCAGATTTGTACGTCTCCCATGGCTGCCGTAATTCGAAAATTCAAATCACGGATACGCATATACACCAAACGTACATAGAAGTACACATATATACGGCTAACGTACCCTGAAGCAAGACCATTTCCATTCAGTCCCGTCCTCCTTAACGATCTTGCTCCGCTGAACGCCCCAGTAACTGACAATCCCTTTATCGTCCTCGTTACCTCCGGCGCCAGCGCCACCATTAGAAGACCCGGTCTCCGATTTCTTCTCTCCTGCCCCCGCTGCCTTTGTATTATCTCCCATTGTCATCATGCTCGCATTTCGCACGCTTCCGATTGCCGGACCCCTAACCCAAATCCAACCACTGAGAATCTTTCCGGCGGCAGGAGAAACATCCGCCGCAGTTGGCTTCAGAAGATGACCGGAGAGAGTCTCGTTGGACACCGCACGTGCGGTAGCGGTCGAAAAGAAGAATCGGGGTCCTGTCGCCGCCATTAACGCCGAGGCAAGCTTTGCTCCACCACGAACCATCATCATTGACATCAACAATGATCAATCGGACACAAATCGGAGCCGATCCGAGAATCTAGGGTTTATAGGAGAATTCGGTTTTTTTTTTCCTCTCTCCGTGTTTTGACGTTACTTTGTCGCCTTTTGCGCTTCACACGCACAAGACGAGGTCTCGAACAGGGCTTTTATAACAACTAAACGAACGGTCAGCAATCAAAATCTCTCGCGTAGACGTATTACGATGATGACATGTGGCAGAACCTACAAGAACTTCGGACACTACTTGCGTGGGCTTCAAGCTTTCTTAATTTTTCGTGATTTATATTTTTGGGATATTAATGCGTTTGGTCTTTCCTCTTTTATGCACAAATTATAATGCTCCATCCGTTATGTCGTTTTTAAAAAAAATTATTATTAATAAATAAATGTCATTTTTAATTTTTTACATGATTTTAAAAAAAAATTTCAGTTTTGATTTTAATTAAAAAAATTAATTTTAATAGAGTATTAATGGGAATGTGAATTAATAGGGATATATTTGACTTTTTTTTTATACTTTCTTAAAAATTAAGATAAAATTGTAAAACGGTATTTATTTAAAAATAGAGGGAGTATGTAGTTTTCATTTCTGGTCTAATGTCGCACCCCTCGGGACCTAAATCCATTTGGTCATAAATAGACCAATAGGAAAAAATGGGTTAAATTTATTTAAGCCAATGGACGAATATTACTGGATTTCGATGAATATATATATATATATATATATATATATATATTTTGGTATAATTTCGACGAATATATTGATTTGAAGAAAGATAAAAATGCAAGATTACCCACAATAAATAGAAAAAAAATATAATATAATGCGAGCTATGAGGCTTATACATGTATATATATATAATAAAAGCCCGACTTCTTGGATCCTACATAACAAACCAGGACAGTTTTGCTCTCTATCAGATACACAACCTAATCATATGCTTCGACCAATCAGAGATGGGTCCGTATTATTACCGGGTCGGGTCAAAACCAGACCCGGTAGTCTCCTTGATCTTTCCTTCAGTACGATCTTCTTCCGGTGCTTTGACCGTCGTTGAAGTCAAGCTCCCCGAACATGCTCTCTCCACTCGGCCGAGACGAACTGAAGTCCCCGAGGCCACTAGAGCCCGAAGAGTTGCCTGAGCCGAAGCTCCCGAAATTAGACGAGCGGTCTGAACTGCCCGAACCGAAGCTCTCGAAGCCAGAGGAACCGCTTGAGCTACCGAAACCTGAGGAGTAGTCTAAATTGCCGGAACCGAAGTTCCCAAAGCCAGAGGAACCGTATGGACTACCGAAATCTGAGGAGAGGTCTGAACTGCCGGAACCGAAGTTCCCAAAGCCAGGGGAACCGTTTGGACTACCCAAACCTGAGGAGAGGTCTGAACTGCCGGAACCGAAGTTCCCAAAGCCAGGGGAACCGTTTGGACTACCGAAACCTAAGGAGAGGTCTGTTCGGTTCCCAACGCCAGAGGAACCGTTTGAGCTACCGAAACCTGAGGAGAGGTCTGAACTGCCGGAACCGAAGTTCCCAACGCTAGGGGAACCGTTTGGACTACCGAAACCTGAGGAGAGGTCTGAACTGCCGGAACCGAAGTTCCCAAAGCCAGGGGAACCGTTTAGACTACCGAAACCTGAGGAGAGGTCTGAACTGCCGGGACCAAAGTTCCCAATGCCAGAAGAACCGTATGAGCTACCGAAACCTGGGGAGCGGTCTGAACTGCCGGGACCGAAGTTCCCAACGCCAGAGGAACCGTTTGAGCTACTGAAACCCGAGGAGCGTTCTGAATTGCCGGAACCGAAGTTCCCAAAGCCAGAGGAACCGTATGAGCTACCGAAACCCGAGGAGTGGTCTGAACTGCCGGAACCAAAGTTCCCAAAGCCAGAGGAACTGTATGAGCTACCGAAACCTGAGGAGAGGTCTGAAGTGCTGGAACCGAAATTCCCAAAGCCAGAGGAACCGTTTAAGCTACCAAAACCAGAGGAGCGATCTGAACTGCTGGAACCGAAGTTCCCAAAGCCAGGGGAACCGTTTGAGCTACCGAAACCCGAGGAGCGATCTGAACTGTCGGAACCGAAGTTCCCAAAGCCAGAGGAACCGTTTGAGCTATTGAAACCCGAGACGCGGTCTGAACTGCCGGAACCGAAGTTTCCAAAGCCAGAGGAACCGATTGAGCTACCGAAACCTGAGGAGCGGTCTGAACTGCCAGACCCAAAATTCCCGAAGCCAGAGGAACTGTTTGAACCAAAGCTGCCAAAACCCGAGGAGCGGTCTGAACTTCCTAGACCACCGAATCTGCTGTTGCGTCCGAAACTGGAACCGCCAAAGCCTTCAGAGTGGTTTGAACTGTATCCACCTGAACGACCAAAGCCACCGGAACGGTCACCAAAGCCGGAACCTCGACGGTCCCTCATGCCTCCAAAGAAACTTGGTCGGGAACCAAAGTCATCGAACATGTCTGAGCCTCCACGCTCAGTAGCCATCCTAGGGAGCTGGATCAAAAGATGGCACTGCACGTTAGTCCATGTTTGAAGAAACTACAAAATGATTTAAAATTCTCGCATTCTCAGATTTGTGTAGGGGCAGAAACGAGCACCCAAAATGTCGTGTATCCGGACGAGATCGGGTAGGTCAACCTAGAAACCCAAAGGAGCGAGCGAGTACTGAATAACATATAACCTTAACCAAACTGAATCTGATATAAAAATTGAATTGTTATAATTTCTATAAAACCGAAAGAAACCCAAACCCGTACTGAAAAAGATGATAAAAAAATTTTTGTTGAAAAATGAGTATTTTTATCAATAAAACCCAAACTCAACTAAACTTGTGAAATACAAGTGAACCAAATCGAACTGAATTCAACATAAAAACGGAATGGTTATAGTTTTCCTAATACCGAAATAATCAATCCCAAATATAACCGAACCTGATCTGAAATCTGAAATCTGAAATGACCATCCTAAGGGAGAGGGCCTAGGTGTGCTACACTAAAAACCTCGATAATCCGACCTGTGCCCACACCCTTACTATTGAGTAAATTCATGAGGAAAGCTTCAACTTACACCGACGGTTTCAGCGAAACCGAAGTAGAAAATGCAAAACGATTCTTGTCCATGGCAAAAATCCGGTTAAGTATAACGTAAGTAAAGAGTAAAGATCAAAATATAACCTCGTTAAACCGGCTTCCAACTTCTGTCTCGATCATTTTTACAGTCCTCGCTTGTTCTTGAGTGTATATGAGAATAGCACTTCCTTTCTTTCCAGCACGACCAGTACGCCCAGTACGGTGAACAAATGTCTCCGTTGTATTAGGAAGCTCGTAATGGATTACCTACACAGATTGAGAAGTCGATTAAAAAGACGGAAAACAAGAGTTCGGAAAAGCAAAAGCTACAAATGATCATGCACCCAAACTGCATCACTATGCGAGCAAGACACATAGGAATAGAACAGATCACTAACTTAGCCGATTATATCTAATCGGTAATAAAAGCGGGTTCATTCACAAACCAGGTCAACATTAGGTACATCGAGTCCACGAGCAGCAACATCAGTGGCCACGAGAATATTGAAATGCCCATTTCTGAAACCAGCAAGTGTTCTTTCCCTCTGACTCTGTGATATATCACCATGTAAAGCTTCACACTTGAAGTTTCTTCCCATTGCATATGCTAGCCGATCTGCATCCCGTTTCGTTTGGGTGAAAATGATGCATTTTCCTCCTTTCCCGTGCTCCTGCAAAGTTCTCGCCCCGTATAATGTTAGAAAGCTAGAAACTTTCACACGGGCCAAAGATTATGAAAGCTTAATCCAAAAGGCATACCGTTACAAGAGGACCGATTATAGATGCTTTCCCATACATATCTGTTACGATAGAATACAACGTAATTCCATCTGCTAGCTTCTGGTCAGAATCTCCAACCTACATCATGCAAGAACACATCAACAAGCAGATTCAGAGACAAGAACAGCGTAATAAAACACATGCCAGAACAGGGGTTCAAACAAGAAAAATATCCTTTCCAGGCAGGGTATTAGCAATCTATACTCACAAGATCAATGGTCAAAGGATCTTTAAGGTACTTCTGGGTGAGGCCTCTGATCCAACTCGGCATCGTCGCAGAGAACATCATGCTCTGACGGTTTAACGGCAACTTCTCCAATATCGTCTCCACATCCTCGGCAAAACCAACTTGAAGCATCTGATCGGCTTCATCAAGAACCATAAACTGAACCTCAGAGAGATTTAGAGCTCCTCTCTTCATCAGATCGATAATACGACCTGGAGTTCCAACCGCCACATCAACACCATAGTCAAGCTCCCTCATTTGACTGCTAATTGGTGTGCCTCCGTATAGGCATATTGTAGCCAAGGTTGGGGCAGACTCGTGGAATTCCTTCTCAACCTGGCGAGCAAGCTCCCTTGTTGGAGCCAGAACCAAGCAAAGAGGATTCCTCCTACGTCTGCGACATCAAAGAAACAGGGATCCTTGAACTGATAGCTATAAAGATAGTGATTCTATTATTCTAACGAGAGAGAACTGTACTTTTTCTAAAACTCCATAAGTCCTAAAATATGTAAGACTTCCAACGAGGTGTGGACAAACCCATGCTTAGAGTTGAATTTGATGATCTTATCCAAAATGGGTATCCCGAAAGCAAGTGTCTTCCCAGTTCCTGTCCTGGCACGACCGATCATGTCACGGCCTTGCATCGCCGGCTCCAGAACAGCTTTCTATTCAAGCACAAACATCAAACTCGATAAAACATTTCTCAACAATTCGTAAAAAGAAAAAGAGTACAAATTGATCGATAATATGCAAACAATACGTCAATCTCTATGAAGCATTTCAAAGATCAGAACAGGAAAACCGTACTTGAATAGGAAAGAGCTTGGTGATGCCTCTCCCACTCAGAGCCTTTATAATCTCCGGCGAAATCTCGAGATTAGATATCTCAAGCCCTTCGTCACTGTTCCCAACACTATCAAAATCACCGATCCCGTGGTCGGCACTCTCATACGCAGCAGCGAAACCCTGAGCCCCAGAAACAACCGTCGACGCCCTGAAGTCCGACGGCCCAGATTTCACGTGCAAGTCCCTCCCGCGAATACCGAACGGGTTTGTCTTCGACGAGAGACTGAATGGAGACTTGACCCCACCTGAGCCATTAGGTCCATTGCCGAACAGACCAAGCTCCGACGAGGTTGTCGCGGCGGCGGCGGGAGCGAGGTGGTGGTAGAGAATCGCGTCGACGGAGGTCAAGGCGGCGGAGAGAGTCCGCCGCGACGAGAAAGAAGATCTCCGAAGTACCGCGGTGATCATTTCGGATTGACTGGTTGAAGAGCTCTGTGGGGACAATGAAGACGGGAGAGGGAGAAGGAAATGTAAACCTCCAAGGGAAATTAGGGTTTTAGGTACACTGATGAATCAGGGTTTTAATCAAATGGGATCGTCTACAACGAGTGTACGGTACAATCATTTACTTCCTAGAAATCAAACTAGATAACAACTTACCTTAAAATTTGGTCATAAATAAGAGTATTTAATTATTTATATAAGATGTTACAAAAGACATACTAAAGTTTTTTACGTTTGATAGATCATCAACTATTATTTTTGAACAAAAATTAAATTACCATCAAATATATAAATTGTTTAAAAAACAATCATTTTACCTTAAATTTATTATAAAACAAAATTAAAATATTAATTTTAATAAAAGGTTCATCAACTATCTAAATTACTAAAAAAATTAATTTTATTATAAAAATTTATAAAAATTTGAACAAAATAAATAACTAAATTATACAATTCTAAAAATCATAAAAAAATATAAATGGGACTAAGATCCGTATTTCACATAAGAATGAGTTGTTATTCAACGTTGTAGCAACGGCTGCCCGTTATAAATTTGCCACTGATATCCGTTGAAATTTCCGTTAGAATAATGTCACGTATTTCCAACGGCATTAGCCACAGACATCAGTTTACTTCTGTTTGAGGAAATGTCGAAAACCCACAATTTAGACCCGAGTCGTTACGCATCCATTTTGGTAAAATTGTCCCCTGCAGCCTGCAGATATTTACCTGATCGACGAACTAAATTATACAATTCTAAGAGTCATAAAAAAATATAATATTTATTTAAATTTATCATATTATAATATTTAAAATTTCTATAAATATTTATAAAAATCACCCTTTATATAATAAATTTATATATAATTATTGTATTTAAAACAAAGTATATTTTATATATTTTATTGATGGTAAATATTATATTTAAATTCTATCATATATTAATTTTTGAGATAGTCTACTTTTTTATAAAAATTTAGTAATTGAAATATAATATAGTGTATAATTACATATAAATTAATTATATAAAAAATAACATATTTATAAATATCATCCCTTTATAATAAATTTGTATATAAATATTACTCTTAAAATTAAATATATTTCATTTATTGTAATTCGATTACTATTGAAATTTAGTAATTAATTTGTATACAAATTTAAAATTTATAAATTTCTATATTTACGATGAAAAAAAAAATATACTTAATTTTAAGTGTAATAACTTGATTCCATGGTTACAAGTTATTAGGCCCAAACCCAAAAAAAAGCATACATATTATTTACTATATATATATCTTTCTTATATATCTATATATCTATATCTATCTATATATATAAAAGTAGAGTAGAATCATATGGGAGTGACACGTGTCATACTTACAAGAAATTAATGCAAATGGTCTACTAATTTATAATGTGTAAATCTTTGAAACGTGGTGTTCTCAACTTTTATTAATGCATATTAAATTTAGTCAATAGATAGTGTTCCTTTCATTGAAAAAGAATGAGTTCAATTAATAAACTCTAAACTATAAATGGTGCTTATGTGCTCTAAACGTTCGTATCAGCAATACAACTATCAACCGATTATATATTTTGGTGTTGAAAAGTGCTTGAAATCAAAGGTCTACTCCTACAAGTTCAGGTTTGCAATCCGATTTTAATTTGTTCTGTAATTTTTCTTTTGATTCTATATTTTTTTTTTGTTTTTTCCAGTATTTTGATTGTGTATTTCGTTTTTGATAAGGGGTCAACATTAATCTTTGGTAACTATTACATCCGTGATAGTTTTATAGATATAGAGTTTTCCCTGTCTTACATATGAATTCAAGAATTCAAGAGATCTTTTGAAAATTCAAAACTGAATTTGAATTTCATGTTTTACAGTAAATTTAGGAAAATGTTGAAAATGAAACTGAATTATCATATATACGTAATCAAGAAAAACTTTTTTAAAATGTCGTAAATTAATAATCATTTTTTAGCAATAAGTTCTTAAGAAATTCTGCAAAAAAAAACATAATATACCAATCGAAAGATTTATTTGAATAAAGATTTATTTGAATAATGTGATATGGAAGTTTCAAAATTCTGGAAAATAGCTTCATATGTTATTTAAAACTCTTGGTATATCTTTTAATTCAGCCGTAGAATAATAACAATAATATTATATTATATTATATTATTATTATTATAGTTTTTTGTTTGGGTTTTTTTTTATGAATGTAATATTTTTCTAAAAAAATTTTTTTATTAGTTTCCTATAGAATTTGGATCAGATTATTTTAATTTTTAAAAAAATCATATCCCACCTATTTTAAATCAGATTTAATTTATATATATAATGTATAATTATATTTGTTTCTATGCAATTTTGTTCTTAACGTTGAATTCAAATAATGGTAAATAAAATTTTTTATTTAAAACAACTTGCACAAATTGGATTTATTTTTTTTCTATAATTAAATCCATACTTAAAATTTCAGACATATAAGTATGTGAATATGTTTATGAAAAAAAGATTGATGGATACTTTTATAACTTTGTAATCTAATATTGTTATGAGAATCCTTATAGAATAAATAAGGTATATTTATAAGAATTTAATGCAAAAAAACTTCTATGTAAACGTACTTTATTTTTTGTTAACTGTTTGTTTTTTATATTTGATTAGTAGTATTTTTCTGAATTTACTTTGATAACAATGAAGATTAATCAGCCAAATATATCATTTGGTTAGTGTTATCAATTTGTTAAATGTAAGAAAACATAACATTTTATTGGTACCAAAACATATATTTAATTTTTTTTTATATTTATATCAATATATATTATATATGTTTATATATAGAAGTAAAAAAAATTGTTTTTGTTTACCGACTTTTGTTTAACATGTTTGTTATATATATATATATATATAATTTTATTTTTTGATTTAAGTTTACTAACAATGAATCACATGTTATATAGTTATTATTCTACACATCTATATATATAAGTTATTTAGAACAATTTGGTGGATCAACCTAAACATCACTTATGTTGCATTTTGTTAAATTTTTATTAATTTATATAAAATATAATATTTATCTGCTAATCATATTTTTTATATTTTAAATATGATAGCCCACCAATTTTTGTGTGTAAATACATATATTATTTCATTCAACGATTGCCTAATTCATATAAATATAATGAATAAATATACTATATTGCAAATAATGTTGTTATTGATCAAATAAAATTTATTGTATGAATATAAAAATCAGATGCATCCAGTGATATCAACCTATGTAGGATTGGATCAGATGAGTATACATCATAATTATCGGTGCATTATGGTCAGATTTCTATGAATATGGGATGAACGAAATCCTTTCAATGAGAATAGGTTCAATGACATCGGATTCTTATTAATTGATGAAAATGTACGTTCTAATTAATATTGATTTTATTGATTTTCTTATACTATGTTTATTAAAAATCTAATCTTTTCTACTTATAATGTTGCAGGAAAATGTTGTTGAAGGAAAAATATTTGAGGATCATGCAGAAAATTTTAAAAATATAATAAACGAGAGAGATATATTTTTAATCAGATTTTTCAAGATTCTACCAAATAAATATATATACAAATTAACGAACAGTAAATTTCTTATTTATTTTACAGAATATACAACTATTGAAAAAGTTGTTGTAACTACTTATAATATTGCCAAAGAAAGATTTCGAATATGTTTATACGATGATTTGTTGGCGTTAACAAACGAAAAACACGATCTACCAGGTATGTGATAATATAAAAAAACCAAAAAGAAAATATTGGATCTTATAATTAATATATTCTCTAATGTTGTAGATATTATTGGAGTTTTAGTCGTAATACAAGGATCAAATTTACAAATATCGTCGTCAACTCAGAAAATTATTCTTCGTTTATTATTGGAAGAGTAAGTTTTCAAATTTTATTTACACTGCAAAAAATATCATTTTATAAAATTTTAACTAAATTAGTTTTATACAAACTAACATATAATTTCAATTTAAAAACCAGCAACAATATCGTCAAGCTTTCTGTATGGGATGATCTCGCTGCAGAACTCCGTTCACAAATTCATAGATTGAATGTCAGAAGTATCGCAGTCATTACGGGTGTAAATCCAAAGATTATTCACGGTAATTATTTAACACAAATTAATTTCTAAATATTTGATAGATTAATATTTAAAAACCATTATTATTGTTATATTGAGTTTACTAATACATTTTATGTATCATGTGTTCTATCACTCAACACATCAACATCTACAAAGATTTACATAGATGAAAAATTGAACATTATCAAAAATTTCCGTTTAAGGTAAATAAATTATATCATCCTTGAAAAAAATCTATATTTATAATATTTACCAAAATAATTTTTATTATTACCTAATAACTGAATTTTTGGCAGACATTGAAGAAAGTCACACCAGTACTAAAGACAACCATAATAAATCAGTTACAGTGAAATGGTAAAATATCTATGCAGTAATAACAATATTCTGTCATTGATTTAATTCTGTTTGCAAAAAAAAATATAATAATATTTTTATATTATTAAAGTTTTCTATTTATATTTAGTTCAACTCAAACAACTTATCTTAGTTTTTGCTACAATCATAATAATAAATTAAATACAAATATAAACATCAAGTATTTCATATCATACTACAACTCAAAATCATCATAAAATCATTACAATCAACCAAACCAATTGATTTAATAAGAACAAAAAAATATTCAATTTTAATTTATTGACGTGGATGTTCACGTAGTAAATTTTAATTATCTGTCCTATATTTACTTATCACAATTCACCAAAATTTAACGTCATTGGAGATGGTGTAGAAAATTGTTAAACATTTTGAGATTTGAGATTTCAAATCTGTACGATACACGTAGATTATTATCTAGATTAAAAATAAAGACTTAAAGATAAAACCGATCAACAAAATATAAAAAATGATAAGAGAAACATATAAAGAAAGAAATTAGTGGTAAAAATATTACGGATATCTACAAATTTTATAAAATTTATGAATAAATTATATTTTGTTAATTATAGAATAGGATATAATATCTCATATTATTATATTTAGATTCATCCTTATCATCTTATTATTTTCACACTATGACAAAAAAATATTTTAATAGAATAATTTAAATGATAAATTTAAAACAAAATTTATTATATTTAATTTTAAATATAAAAAATTATTTAAATTCGTAAATATTCAGTCCGCGCGATTCGCGCGGGGTATTACCTAGTTATCTATATAAAAGTAGAGTTATTCTTGAGAGAGTGACAGGTGTCCCCTATTATTAGTAATAAAAATATTTTTTCTATCATTTAATTAATATATTGATTTGAATCTAAGTTACGGAGATTAGTATAGTGTATTCAATATTATGCATTAACACAAAGTTCAAGGAGTCAAACTAACGGAGAGGATGAATCGAAAATATAATTATTCATAGAAGTTTGTAATATTTGTTATTCAATGTACGACACTTTAATATTGTCTTAGGTTAAAAAAAAATCTTTGAGATATTTAAGGTCTTTTTATTAGTTTAAGAGGTTGTGGAGACAACTCTAGAAACATCTTCTATCGTCATTGATGTAGGATCCTCTTTGAAAAAATTGTTTCTTTTTTTTTCTTCCGATGAATCCAAGACGACTTTCTTTCTCACTCAACCTTCAATGGTGAAAGAGTCGACATAACTGTCAAATTCATTAGATATTAGATTGTAAGAATTAGTGATTCAAAATTCAACTATTAAACTAAATTTATAAAAAAAATATTATATTATATACAAGTGCAAAAGAAAATGTATACCAAGATGTGCAAACTATACCATTGGTTCAATGCAAGTATACTATTATAAATTATTTATATATATATATATATATATATTCTGATATAAATAATATTTAGTTACAAAACTATTGCATCTACCAAACAATTCTAAAAATATACTTATTTCTCTTATTATTTAGATACTCGTTTTAATGATTTGATTTTATAAAAAAAATTATATTTCTGGATAAGAAAACTCAATCCCGATTATAAAGAATTTCCGATCAAACAAAGTAGATAACAATTTTAAAAAATTAGAAAAGATAAATCGTGTAAAGGTATGTTAGGTGCTCATGAGTTTTTTTTTAAACCGAGACTTATCGTTCATATTTTAAAATACATACTCTAAATAAAGTATCATGCTTATTAAATCGTATGAGACGATAATAGATGTGATATGCATGAAGAACTCAGCCAACTTTTGTATCGCAAAATCAAAGAGGTTATGCCGAGTCGTGAAAAATTAAATAAGACAAATAGATGATAAGAAACAAATTTAATAAAATGTATGTCAAATTAAATCAAAATATCTAACTATCACAAAATCTTAATTTTTAATTTTTAGGATAAACGTGGCTAAATCTTAATTTATAAAAAATATAATGTCTTACAAGATAACGAAACAAATGAAAGAGTTACATGAATAGTATTATATCTTATGAATTTGGTTTAATTAAATAAATATTTCTAAATTTTAAATATTTATAAGATTATATAAATTTAATATTATACCAATATTTTAAAAATGTTTATTAAATTGAATAAATTATTATCGTATTACTAATATCAACTAAATTTATATTATTGTTTAATACTATATTTTCTAAACTACCAAAAAATTTACACCATGGGCGGATCCAGTATATTAACAGTGGGATCATGTGTCCCCATTCCTAAATTTATTTTTTATTCTAAAATTTCTAATTTTTTTTGATAAAATGGTTAAATATCCCAAATAAATTTAAATTTGTATCTAAAAAATTATGTTAAATTTACTAATATCCTCAATTATAAAAAATTTTAGGTCTGCTACTGGATACCACTCGATTTACACAAAAGGTAACTCTTTTATAAAGTCATAAAATTTAATAAAATTTTATTCCAATATTCTGTATTTTAATCTTTTATTATATATTATAACCCATCAATATAAATATATTGTTCATCACTACTTTTGAAAAAAAAGACATCACCTCATTATCGGAATATTTTAAGAAAAAATCATTTTGATTTAATAATATAAATTATAAATTTAAAAATAAAATATATTATATTTAAATTTAAAATTAAATAAAATTATTTAATATATATATATATATATATATATATATATTTAATCTACACGATGCACGCGGGTTATTACCTAGTATATATAACATGATCATAATATATCACATTTAATTCATAATCCACCACATAAAGGATTTGGTGGCTATAATTAATGAATTTTCGTCTGAAAAAAAAAAGAGACAATGGATTCCTTTTATTTTTCTTGATTAGAATTTTTTTTTTCTGCCACGTTTAAAAACATAACATTCTATCCAAAACCATTTATTAATTTATCCTAACAAAATGATACATTCGTACTCTTTAGTCTTTAAAAAAAATGAACGTATTTTTTTTTATTATGAGACCAAAATGTAAAAAAAAACACCCAAGGAATGTTGCGAGAGTGGTCAAAAGAACGAAAATAAATATTTTATTTGCCATTGTCTGGTCCAAAATTTCGACACGTCGAACTTATTTTATATGGAAATTGAATAGTAAAACTATGTGTATATTTCAGGCACAATTAAACAATATGCTATTCTATTAGATGACGAATAAAAGTTATTGAATTAAAGTATAATATTGCTATTTCTGTTTATCACTTAATACATAGTATAACATACAGGTTAACATTAAAATATTTCGAGAATAACGGCCAGGATTTGTATTTCATAAGAGCAAAATTTATATACAAATATGTATCTTTTACCAAAAAAATAGTGTATGTATGATATTTTATAAAATTTTATAATACAATACAAGATTATAATATAGTAATAATTATACCTAATATTTATAAATATTTTGAATGGAAAATCATGTATATTCGATTCAAACCGCTTATTATTTGTTAAAATATTTTCTTATGGATCAATAATCAGTATCCTTAGATTTACTTAAAAATAACCTAATTAAGCCTATTGCATATAGTTTTGGCATATATACTATAAAAGTTTAATTAATTATATTTATAGAAACTAATTCTCTCTTTGCAAAAATTCTAAAGCCTCGATATTCATCACACGATCAATTATCTACTACTACTACTAGGGCCGTCTAATGGGCGGTACAATTCGGTGCGATCGTACAGGGCCCCTAAAATTGGAGGGCCTCAAATTTTTATTTATTTATTATAAAAAATATTATATATAAGTAAATTATGTAATAAATAAATACAAATCTTCAAAAATATAAAATATATATCATTTAATTATAGTTATAATAAAATATTAATTAATAAAATTTTAAATTATTTACTTGATTTATTTTAAATTTTAGTATTAATAAAAATAAAAAATTTAAATTATATATTTTTTTATCTAATCTTAAATAAAATATAAATATAACAATATTCAATAATGATTTAATTGACTTAAATATTAAAGAGAACTAAATATTATTTACATACATTACTATTTAATATAATTTATAATTTAACTTTAAAATTTTTATCATATAAAATTTACAATTTAAATATTTTAAATTTTAAATTAAATATTATGTACAGGGCCCTAAAATCATTGAGACGGCCCTGAGTACTATTACTAATTATTATTATTATTATGAAAATCAACAACTCCAACAATATCCCAACCTGCTCTTATTGTCCACATCCCGTTGGTGTCTATCCATGACGGCCAAAACATTCACGCTTCAAACATCATCCTATTCTCCTTTAAATTTCTAACCATATCTCCCTCTCCTCTTCATGATCCGAAATGAATAACTTCGAAATCGATCATAATCAACCTTCAGGTAATTTGTTGTCACTTCCCAAATAATCTGTTGGTTTTTTTTATTATACGAGATTAAATAACCGTTATTTGATTCTGAAAATGGTTGAGATATTATTATTTATCGGCGATTTTATCACTATTTTTCGCGGCAGTGAATAACCCTTTACCGGAGAAACCACCGGCGCCGGAGCCCTATACAACTCCACCGCCGGTTGGTTATCCGACCAGAGACACCGCCTTTGATAATCCTCCGGTGGAGACGAAGTCCAAGGGTGATGGGTTCTGGAAAGGATGGTAATCTATTCCTTTTTTCCCGTTACATAATTATTTTGCCCGTTATTACAAATATAAGTTTTCCATATATATAAATGTAATTTTGAATTTTATCCAAAATTTGAATATAAAAAAATTAAAGGTTGGTTTGGGTTGGATGGTTCAATATCTCCATCCATTAAATAAAGATTCGGGTCCGGACCCTATTTCAATGATCAGTCATTTATTTTGTGCGTTCATAAAAAAAAATGAACGGAGATTAGTTTGAATATATAAGAATTAAAGATCTCGTTTTATAGTTGAACGATATTTAAAACGATTCGTCGTCAATAAATTTATAAAAAAAAAATACATAAAGAAAATCGACATGGCAAATATATATGTAAGGTGATTATAATTTGTATTAGAGTTAGTTCAACAGAAATAACGAACTCTGTTAGCATACACACAATTGTATAAGTGTGTATGTATAGTTGATATTGTATTTAAAGTAAAGCTCCTGTACATTGAAAGGTTAAGTTCGAATATACAGAAATTGTTCATTCTCTCTCTTGATTTTGTTTCTCTCTCTAAATCAGGAAATTTCAATCTTTGAGCGTGATATGGTATCAGAGCGAGTATCGATTCACGATTCTTCGCTTCGATTGATTTTCTCTTCCTCTGCTTGATCGTTTCATCGATTGAGTTTGAGTGTTTTTTCTTTTCCGGCGATTTTCCTGGAAAATTTCATCGCAGAAGATGGCTGAGTCATCTTCAGATGTTCGTTCTTCCACCGATGTTCGATCTTCGGTTGATTCTTATGATAATGTCTATTATCTGAGTTCGAATGATCATATGAGCTTGCAACTTGTATCTGATCGGTTATCTGGACCGGAAGATTACAATTCTTGGAGCATTTCAGTTCTTTTGGCTCTGGAAGGTCGCAACAAGACTGGTTACATTGATGGAACCCTTGCTAAACCTCCAGATTCAGATCCAAATCAGCGATTGTGGCTTCGTAACAATGCTGTGGTAAAATCTTGGCTTGTCAACTCTGTCTCCAAGTCAATCTCGCCTAGACTTTTGTTCATGAAAACCGCAAAAGAGATATGGTTGAATCTTGCTAAACAATATCGGCAGAACAACATACCTCGTTTGTTTGGAATTCGAAAGCAAATGCAGAATCTGAAGCAAGGCTCAATGGATGTGTCTACTTTCTACACCAAGATGCTTACAGTTTGGGAAGAAGTCAAGTCTATTGATGAAAATCCACGATGTGAATGTGGAAAATGCACCTGCCAAGTCGATCAAAGATGGTATGATCGCTTTGAAAGGAACTTTGTTATTGACTTTCTCTATGCTCTGAATGAGGTTCATGACAATGTTCGGGAGAAGATCATGATGCTAGATCCTTTCCCTGATCTCGATAAGACATTCAATTTGGTTACTCAGAACGAGCAACAGAACTTACTCAAGTCAGCACCTTCTTCAGAAACTCATGTTTTCCAGACTTCAGCAGAAGCAGATAACACTATTGCAGCGGTTTCGGGTGGAAATTACAAAAACAGGCAGCGACCTCTCTGCACTCATTGCAACCTCTATGGTCATACTGTACAAAAGTGCTACAAATTGCATGGATACCCACCGGGATATCGTCCATCATCTACAAAGCCATCTCAAAACAACAATGCACCACAAGCTACAAATTACAAGACTGGATACAGTCAATACGGACCAAAGCCTCCTCCTTTACAACACAAAGGCTTGATTGCATCAGTTCAGACAAGTGCTACTGAAATATCTCCGCAATCAGTTCTTAGTGAGATGTCCCCTGATCAACTACGTGAATTACAACAACAAATCAGTGAACAGCTGAGAAGTGCTAACTCAGTTGCCACACCAGTCATCACTCCACAAGGAGCACCAGATCAGACATCTCTCAGCACTGGTAACACTTCAACTTTTGACATATGTTCTTCTATTTTACAGAATAATGTTCTTGGTTCTGCAACTTGGATTGTTGACTCTGGTGCGTCAATTCATGTTTGCTCCAACCAATCTTTGTTCTGTCAAATTAGAAGTATTACACCAGTTTTGGTCAATTTGCCAAACGGTGAAAGTATTACGATAGTAACTGCTGGAACAGTCAGGCTCAACAAGCACATTACTCTTTCTAATGTGTTGTATATTCCTTCATTTCGGTTTAACTTGATCAGTGTCAATACTCTGATCAAGGATACTGATTATTCTGTTCTTTTTACCTCTGACTCCTGTCTTATACAGGATTCTTCTCGGGGTTGGATGATTGGGAGGGCTAATCTCCAACAAAACCTCTATATCATTGACCATACCTTCATACCAACACCATACTCTACCTTTCATTGCAATGCTGTTATACCAGACACAAAACTGTGGCATCATCGCCTCGGGCATCCTTCCATTTCCAGAATAAAAACACTTTCCTCGGAGTTGTCTCTTACCAAATGTACAGACTTATCACATTGTGAAACCTGTCATTTGGCAAAGCAGCGACGTTTACCTTTTGTTTCTCACAATAATGTCTCAGACAGTCCTTTTGATCTTTTACACCTAGACATTTGGGGTCCTTTTGCTGTTCATTCTGTTGAGGGATATAGATATTTCTTAACCGTTGTAGATGACTGTTCTAGAGCTACTTGGATATACTTACTGCGTAATAAAAGTGAAGTGTTGCAAGTGTTTCCAAATTTTGTTGCCTTTGTTGAGAAACAGTATCAGAAATCTGTCAAAGCAATCAGATCCGACAATGCACCAGAATTGGCATTCACAGAACTATGTCAACAACAAGGCATTATGCATTACTTCTCCTGTGCCTACACTCCTCAGCAGAACTCGGTGGTGGAGCGCAAGCATCAACACATTCTGAATGTAGCGAGAGCTTTAATGTTTCAGTCCAAGATACCTCTGGTCTACTGGAGTGATTGTGTAAAGACAGCTGTATACCTCATCAACCGGATTCCATCATCTATATTACAACAGAAGACCCCTTATGAAGTTCTCACAGGTACCTTACCTGATTATTCACATCTACGTTCATTTGGATGTTTATGCTATAGTTCAACTCATGATGGAGCTCGACATAAATTCTCTGTTAGAGCTAAGCCTGCTGTATTCATTGGTTATCAGCCAGGATACAAAGGATATAAACTGCTAGACACAAAAACCAACCAAACCTATATTTCCAGACATGTGGAATTTCATGAAACCATATATCCGTTTCATTCTAATCCTACAGATTCTTCTAATGAATCTGTCACCCAAATCTTTCCCTCTGTTATATTACCTATGCCCATTCCAGATATTTCTAGTCCTGAACCTGAGCCATTACCAGTTGATTCTTTACCATCTCTTCCACATATTCAACCTCAAGACACGGAAGTTGATTTACAGCTATCAGTATCTGAACCTGCTCTGGAAGGTCGCAACAAGACTGGTTACATTGATGGAACCCTTGCTAAACCTCCAGATTCAGATCCAAATCAGCGATTGTGGCTTCGTAACAATGCTGTGGTAAAATCTTGGCTTTTTCCCACACTATCGAGATTTTATTCTTAACCTGGACCATGAAACAGAACCCAAATCCTTCAAAGAAGCAGTTGTATCTGAAAATTGGCAGCAAGCAATGAATACAGAAGTTAAAGCTCTAATAGAGAATGGCACCTGGTCTATAGTCTCATTACCTCCTACAAAACAACCTGTTGGATGTAAATGGGTCTATAAGATCAAGCGCAAACCAGATGGAAGCATTGAGAGATATAAGGCCAGACTCGTCGCAAAAGGGTATACACAGCAAGAAGGGGTTGATTACACTGATACGTTTTCTCCAGTAGCGAAATTGGTGACGGTTAAGTTGGTATTAGCTCTTGCTGCAGCACAGAAATGGAGTTTAACTCAGATGGATGTAACAAACGCTTTCCTACATGGAGACTTAGAAGAAGATATATACATGCAACTACCTCCAGGTTATACACCACATAATGGCGAAGCATTGCCAAACAGAGCTGTCTGCAAGTTACAAAAGTCACTGTATGGCTTAAAACAAGCCTCGAGACAATGGTACACAAAGTTCTCTTCAGTTTTGATCTCTAATGATTTCAAACAATCTCAGGCGGATAACACTCTGTTTGTGAGAAAAAGAGGAAGCAGCTTTGTTGCACTCCTGGTGTATGTCGACGATATCATCATTGCAAGCAACAATGATGAAGCTGTAGCAGATTTGAAGAAACTCCTAAATACACATTTCAACATCAAAGATCTAGGCCCTTTGAAGTATTTCCTGGGTTTAGAGATTGCAAGAACTGAAGCAGGTATCTCTCTATGCCAAAGGAAATATTGTTTAGAGCTTCTTGACAGTGTTGGTCTATCTGGTTGCAAGTCTGTTTCTGTTCCTATGGAACCAAATTTGCACATCAGTACAGAATCGGGAAGCTTGCTATCTGATTCTACAGCATACAGGGCATTGATAGGAAGATTGCTTTACCTCACAATTACAAGGCCAGATATAACCTTTGCAGTTCACAGACTAAGTCAGTTTTTATCAAAGCCAACAGAGGATCATTTACGGGCTGCACACAGAATCATTCGATATCTCAAGAATGATCCTGGACAAGGTCTATTCTATTCGGCAAAGTCAGAATTGAGGTTGAATGCATTCTCAGACGCAGATTGGGCCACTTGCCCTGATACACGAAGGTCGATTACAGGGTATTGCGTCTTTCTCGGAGATTCCTTGATATCCTGGAAATCAAAGAAGCAACAAACAGTGTCTAGAAGTTCAACAGAAGCGGAATACAGAGCTCTAGCTAACACTACATGCGAAGTTGTCTGGTTGGATAATCTGCTTCGAGATTTGCAGATTCCTGTTCAAAGACCAGTAAATCTGTTCTGTGACAACAAATCTGCAATCTACATATCATCAAATTCAGCTTTTCATGAAAGGACCAAACATATTGAATTAGACTGTCATCTAGTTCGGGAGAAGATTCAAGATGGGCTGATCCGAACGATGCATGTTAAGTCGATCAATCAACTTGCAGATCTGTTAACAAAGCCTCTGTCTCCAGCTCTGTTCAAGTCTTTGGTTGATAGATTGAATTTGTCAAGTTTATTTCATCCTCAAGGAAGAAATAAACTTGAGGGGAGCATATTAGAGTTAGTTCAACAGAAATAACGAACTCTGTTAGCATACACACAATTGTATAAGTGTGTATGTATAGTTGATATTGTATTTAAAGTAAAGCTCCTGTACATTGAAAGGTTAAGTTCGAATATACAGAAATTGTTCATTCTCTCTCTTGATTTTGTTTCTCTCTCTAAATCAGGAAATTTCAATCTTTGAGCGTGATAATTTGTTTCTTTTTTTTTTTGTTGGTGCCATGTTTTTTACAGTTGTGCTGGGTTATGCTGCTGTTGTCTCCTGGATGCATGCTTCTGAAGCTTTGGATTCCACGACGCCGTTCATGTTCTGTTGTTTTTCACACCTTTGTCATGTTTTTTTTTTGTGGAATTATATTGTTGTAATGTTTTAATTAATTAAATACCCCTCTCTATTTGCTGTAATGAACTATTATTTTATAAAAAGTACCCTTGATGTCAATCCGATGTGTCCTTCTTATAGTTTTAGCTTTGTTTTTCCTCAGTTTTTTAGAAGGTATAAACATAAGGCATATATATCCTCCTCCATTAATTCATATTTTTTAATATTTAAACGAAATATTATTTAATTAAAGATAAAATTAAAAATTTTCTAAACAAATCATTTAAAAATTTTAAAACGATATACATTATATAATAAAAAAATATTTTTTAAATGATATCTATTAAGAAACGGAGAAAGGATTATATTTAATAAATTTTAAATTGTATAAAAGAAAATAAAGAATTAATAAGGGTAACAAAAAAAGATGATCGTAATTGATCATAGGGACATAAAAAAGGGCTTCATATGTAAAATAGGCCCATAAGACAATAGGGCTCAATTAAATCCATTTACCTTTATCTAGGGTTTCTGCGTCACAAATAAAATCCTCCATTCTCACTGAAGCAAGCCATTAGGGTTTTTTTTTTTGGCGGCCAGAGAGACGAATCGGAGAGATCTAAGAGGGAGAGAGATCGAAAATGGTGAAGTTCCTGAAGCAGAACAAGGCCGTGATCCTCCTTCAAGGTCGGTACGCCGGTAAGAAGGCGGTGATCGTTCGCTCCTTCGACGACGGTAACCGCGAGAGGCCGTACGGTCACTGCCTCGTCGCCGGCATCAAAAAGTACCCGGCGAAGGTGATCCGCAAGGACTCAGCGAAGAAGACTGCGAAGAAATCTAGGGTAAAGTGCTTTGTCAAGCTCGTGAACTACCAGCATCTGATGCCGACTCGTTACACACTCGATGTGGATCTGAAGGACGTTGTCTCCCTCGAGGCGCTGCAGTCCAAGGACAAGAAGGTAACTGCACTCAAGGAGGCCAAGGCCAGGCTCGAGGAGCGTTTTAAGACTGGCAAGAACAGGTGGTTCTTCACCAAGCTAAGGTTCTGAGAAAAAAAATATATGGATGTTGTGTCTTTTCTGGAGCGAAATGATCTTGGTTTTGTTGTTATGTTATCAATTTTACAGAGTACTTTTTAGTTATAGGGATTCGTGGAATTGATGGTGATCTCTATTTTTTTGTTTTGGTGAAGTCATTTCTTTGTTTGAAACCTCTTGATGGTTTTTCTTTACTCCAATGCACCTTGATGTTCTTCATATGCCACTTTATGCCTCCATGGTCACATAGTTCTTGCTGTCCGTAGATATCAATTGATGATAGCTGAAGTCGAATGTGGGAGAGAACCCTTTGTTTGGAAATTAGCTGAATTTTGCAGTGGGGAATCAGCTCTTGGTCTTTCTTTGAATCTTTGTCTTGAAGTCATACACCATTTTGTAGATCAGAAATTTCTATCCCTAGCCCATTCTTTGCGGCAGTTGTGTTCCAACGGCTTTGGCTACATTCTGTCATCTGCTTTGTCCCCACTGTGTTTATCTCATCTGAGTGATACATGTCCTGTTTCGGGTCGGTCTCTGGTCGTTTTGGGTGGCTTATGTTACCCCAAAAGTTTCAGCTTTTGGATTTACTTAGCTGATTGTGTAGGATGAGAGAGCGAGAGAGGGTGATCCATTAAGTCAAGACTGTAACAATGGAAGTCGATCTTCTAACACTCTTGCTTCTTGATCGCGTTCCTTGTTTATTAGGGTCACAGTATTGATTGGGAAATTGTGGCTTTGGCCGCAATTGTGGCTTCATCCTTTTAGCCGATAACGATCGATTCTTCATCCCTCTCAGAAGAGCTTGCAGCTTGTATACGAGACAAGAGTTACCTTTATAGAAGAAAGCCTTCAGAATCTCATACGACCCCCTTGATTCTCAATTACGGCCACACATGACATATAACAACCCAACAAAGAAGCCAATTCTTTTCCTAACCCGAAACAAAAATTGGTGAGAACCTTAGAATTGTGTAAATTTTAGAATTGTTGTGAATAAAGATGAAAACTTTATGAAATATCACCCAGTCCCGATCCCGACTTCAACAGATTCTCACCAAGACCTGAGCTTTTCTGTAGTCAACGATAAGATAGTAAGCTATGCCTCAATGAGAAGAGACAACCTTTTTTTTTTTGTAAGGGTGTCAATTAAGAAAATAAAACTATAGGGGCAAATTTTGAATTCATGATTAAAATGCGGGCCGATTGCGAGATAAATAATTAATTTGGATCAGCCCTTCAGCTTTGTAAAGTAACGGTTTAAAACCCTCGGAATTAAAAACCGAATCGGTTCAGGTTTATAAACAAAGGCCTAAAAATATTTGTCGTTTTCTCACCAGAAAAGCTGCCGAACCCTAACGGGGCCGGGTCATCTCGATTCCTCGACATTGCAAGCCTCTGATTTTCCTCAGTTTCTCTCCGCCCTTCTCCCGGTGGTCTTTCTCCGGCTGATTCCGTCGGCGATTTCTCCGGAACCGAAACGTGTGTACCGAAATTTTTCCTGTCTCACCGAACCGATTGCTCGATTTCCTAACCGGTCACGAGCTGCAGTACCGAAGGTTCTTCTCCTTCTTATTCTATGTATTTCGTGTTCTTACGGTTTTGAACGTGGTAACTTCGATTCTTAATTTTGAATTTGGTGCTTGGGTTTTAGAATTATTTCGTAAATTCGCGACTTTTGAGGCCAATCTGGTTATTATGTGGGAATTCCATGCTAATGTTGGTAACCATCGGAATTTGGCTTCGTTTCTGCAAAATTTGATAGATTTTTTGTGCTGCGGTTCCTTTCCCTTGTCGATCTCATATGATCATGTGAGGATCTAGGGCTTTTGTGCAAACTAGGTTGTGTTCTTGGAAAATGTCAGGCTCTGTACGATGACTTGTGATTGCTGTCGAAGAAATCCATTATGAGAACCTTATGGCCTTTCCAAATTCGAGCCGATGATAGCTCTCTTTTCTCT